GGGGAGGACATGGCCACGTGGAGCAAGAGGTCCACGAGGGACCTGGCCACCCAGCTGGTCAAGCGGATCCTGCAGACCGACACGGCGGTGTACCCCATGGCAGGGGTCAGCGAGGGCGGCTTGCAGCCCCCCGCGCCAGCCCGGCCGGGTGTCTGCTGGAGGCACGTGAACACTCTCCGCGTGGACAACGAGGGCAGGGTGTTTGTGCCAGTCAGGATAGCGGGCTCCGAGGAGGTGGACGCCCTGGTGGACGTCAACGCGGACGTCAGTGCGGTGCAGCTGTGCCCTCAGCTGGGAGGAGACGGGGTGCAGGACCGCACTGCAGGGCTGGGAGGTGCCATGTGCTATGATGTCCCCTTCTCCATCGGCGGGACGGTGTACTACGGGGATGTGCAGCACCTCCCCGCCATGCCGGAGCTGTGCGTTTTGGGAAGCGACTTCCTAACGGCTCACCGGTGGCAGCTGGACCTGGCTAACAGGAAGATTTGGGAAGTCTCTGAAGACAACCTGTTGGAGCAGGCAGGTCCACCAGTCCTTCCTAGACCCTCGCTGCAGGTCTGCAGGACCCTAATGCTGCTGGCTCCAAGTCAAGAGCCATGGAGGGAGGAATTCCCAGATGTGTGGACAAGGTACAAGATGGACTGTGGTTTGGTCTCTGGGGAGGAAAATATCACAGGGGGACCAGTGCCATTCCAAAAGCAATATGCGTATTTGGAGGAGGCGGAAAACGCAGTGGCTAACATCCTTGAAGACCTGCTGGCTCAAGGAGTGGTGGTAGAAGGGACATCTCCGTCCAACAGCCCTTTATGGCCCGTGAAGAAGGCCAACAAGAAAGAGTGGCGTCTAACGGTGGATTATCGAGCTGTCAACAGGGCCACCGCCAGGATAGCCCCGGTGGTCCTGGACAGGACGAAGATCGTCACGGCCCTGAGTCCCAAGAGCAAGTACTTCTCCGTGCTCGACTTGTCGAATTGCTCCTTTGCCATCCCGCTGGCACCAGCCTGCAGAGCCCGCTTTGCCTTCACATTCAGAGGCCGGCAGTACCTCTTCACCAGGCTGCCCCAGGGCCTCCACAACACCACCACCATCGTGCACCAGCGGGTGGCTCAGATGTTAGCCCAGCTGCCCGACGAAGACAAAGAGGAGGTGCTTTCATACGTCGATGATATCATCATCGCTGGGAAAACCCAAGAGGAGACCAGAGCCCGGACGAGGAGAGTCCTGGAGCTGATCCAGAAAACTGGCTTTAAAGCCAAGTTAGAAAAGGCCCAACTAGTGCAGCCCAAGGTCAATTACCTGGGGATCACGATAGGGCCAAAGGGGAGGGAGATACAGGAGAGCAAGCTGAAGGCCGTGGACAAGAAGCACCACCCGCGGGATGTGCGCGAGCTCCAGGGCTTGCTGGGATGGTTCAGGTCCATGCAAGAGCACGTTGAGGGCTACTCGGAGATTGCCCAGCCGCTCTACCGCTTAATGAGGAAGCCGGAGAGATGGGAGTGGGGACCTGAGCACGAGGAGGCCCTGAGCCACCTGAAGGACGCGATCCTCAGGGCGCCCGCGCTGCGCTTCCCCGACCGGTCCCAGCCCTTTGTCATCAGGCTGACGACGAGCGAGCACGCCACGGGGGCTGCCCTGCTGCAGGAGGACGAGCAGAGCCAGCTGGTCCCAGTGGCATACCATTCCCAGCTGCTGAAGGACCACGAGGTCTCCTATTCACCACGCGAGAAGGAGTGCTTGGTGGCGGTACAAGCCGTGCAGGCCTTCAGGGCTCTCACGGGGCCGGCTCCTGTCGTTATCCAAATGCCACATTCGCCTTTGAAATACCTCCTTTGGGGGATGGTGACGGGAGCTCACACGTCAAGCGCCCACCCGGCCCAGTGGGCTCTGCTGCTGGTGAACAGGGGGGTCCCAGGGGAGACGGTCCCCAACGGGAACCCCCTTCCCTGCGGGCACCCTGCGGGCTCGGTGGTGCCCACCGCGCCCCCGCTGCGGCTCTTGCCCTCGCACGTCCCCGCGGGCACCGTGTG